GAGGGTCCACAATAGGCTACCCCAATCCCGATATCCCGATGTATTTTTTCTAAAATTCCCGATATCCCGACGCGTTTTTCGAGGAATCCCGATCCCGCTTTGCAACTTAGTAACCTATGACGACGAAAGTGTCAGTTTTATCGCGAAAATTCATGACGTTGCACGGGAAAGCAAACTAAAAATATACTTTGAAAATGCATGTATGGATGCATCTTAAAACACAAGTCGATTATTAAATCTGATAGCCCTTCCAAATCGAGAGACAGCAATTCCGAGAAGAAAATTGGCCTCTAACTCAAAGTTCCAACACTATTCTTACGCTCCTCTTCGATCTCTTCTTGGACTTCATCGCTTCTTGTATCGTACTCATCAACTTTTACGCCTCCAATTTTCTCCTCTTCCTCGACTCTCTCTTCCTGGTTTTCTGCCTCTGAATCCTTCCCGAGGCTGTCAATTATGACAGGCTTCCCTGGTTCCACTTGACGTTGGTACAGGCCATCTGGGAGTGCCCCTACCCTGCACATTGTGGTCTCCTGCCTCACGGTGCGTTATCGCACAGATGCTCCATACGCGTCTGCCCATTCTTTCATAGTTTGGGCGTCTTGGAGAGAAATGGTGGTCGACTGCTGTACCTGCGTAAGTGGAATTGCTGCTAGGCGTGACGCTCTTTCAGGAACTGGGTACCAGGATTTGAGATTCGTATAGTAGAAAGCTGCCCAGTGATTGGTTCGCTTTAGGCTTTCCTTAACAGCATTCCCAAAATTCTTGGCATATTGGTGCACAAACGGTCCACAAAGGGGCCTTGGGATGCACCACTGAATGGAAATTCTCCACATCCAATGCCATGCAGCTAAGAAGGATTAGAGACTTGTAGCCGAACTTGGTATCTCGTTCTCACGCAAATGATCTAAGGATTCGCCCAACGTTGTAAAAGCATGGTGCTTCTCATGGACAGAAAACGCTGCATAGATTTTACCGATCGCCGTTAGAGAATCTACTGTCCTTTGAAGGGTTGTGACGACTTTGATGCAGCTGTCTGCGCATCGCAAACGTAAACGTGACTAAACTCAACACAAAATCCTATGGGATGATAAAACTCTGTCGCGCTCACAACGCCGTCTCGGTTTCCAGTTTTGCCACGGTTTCCAGCAAAACATTCAACTGTACTCTCTTTCTTAGACCACGGCATTCACACAGTATGATGCTGGATCCGTGTATAAAATCCCTCCTTATATTCTATTATGGACAGGGATGGTCACTTCCGGTAATATCGCCAAATTTCAAAATGCAATAATTAGACGTGAATGGAGTATTTTTTTTTGTCAAAGAACGTGTTTTAAATCCCGTATCCCGTCTTACAAAGATTTCATATCTCGAATCCCGAGGCACAAATTGCGAAAATCCCGCATCCCGCAAGAAATTTTATTCCCGAATCTCGTATCATATTTTTTTAATATCCCGCTTCCCGATCAAAAAATAACCTAATTCCCGCATCCCGAAAAACCTATTGTGGTTATGCTTGGCCTGAACTGCTGCCCTATGACGTATACTTATTAGTTAAATCATGTATATATATATGCTGTAGGTAGCTGCAGTGATACAGACAGGGCCGTAGCGAGGGAGGCGGATATTGTTATGTCGATCGCCACCTCCCCCCCAACATTTTTAGAATCAACAAATTCGGAAAATCGACCTGGCCATTTGGAAAATTTTGGCAATAATAGTAGAACAAAATTTTAGTTGTTAAACAGAGAAAACATTATAAAATTTTATTGTCAGTATGAATTGTAAGCAAATTGTAAATTTGGACATACTAAAACGCTACTTTCTGACCATCAGAATCCTGTCAAAACTTTCCCAAAGCTCCCTACGGCACTGCTTCTGTAATATGTCTGTGCGTAAATATGCGTACTTTCGTTGGTAAATTGTGTTTTCATTTTCCGGATAGCAAACACCTTCGTGGCTTCGTATGCCATGATACATTTGAAAATTTTTTTCGTCATTCGGAAATTTTTGGCCTACACCCCCCCCCCCCCCCCCCC